CCCCTCCCCTCTTTCCCCTCCGTCCCTCAGTCCATCCCTCGCCCTGACCTCTGAGGCCTTTCTCCTGTCAGATTTCAGCAGGCTACACTGAGAAACCCATCTGACCAGGGCTCCCACAGAGATTCAGACCTGTCTCTGCCTCCTCAGAGGGACCATGGCTTCCTGTGGTTAAGGAAGATGCCACATCCAAAGGGAGGACTTGAAGACAAGGCTTGGGGTTGGATGGACTGTGTAACATCACTCATAGTCACACAGGCATTGTCACCTGCAGACACACAGTCAGCCAGGGGTCCACAGGGGCCTGCAGGCTCACAGGCACAGACGTGCACACAGGCCCATTGGCCCACAAACTCCTAGTTGCATACAGAGTAGCCATACACACAAGCACACGTAAAAACACTTCATAACACAGGTACACAAACACACAGACTCACAAAGGGAAAAATAAAGATAGAGTGTCCCCACTCCCCTCCTCCGTCCCCTCCTCCTATCCCCTCTGCCCCCAACACTTTGCAGTCCTCTGACCAGCTGGCTCCATCATTGCCTGTATGACTGTGGTCGAGGCGGCAGTCTGTCTAACCATTTGGAGCAGGAGTGAGGCGGTGGAGGAAGGGCCAAGCCTGACCCTCGAGTCCTCCTTACAGACCTAAGCATTTTCTTGAACTGTGAAAAGCCATGATCCCTCTCAGGGAAAGGAGAGGGGTGGGTAGTCCAAGCCTAAATCTGGCTTTGTGCTTATTTCCTCCAGACCAGCCTTGAATAACCCCCATCCCCTAGTTCCTACATCTGTGCCAGTGATCTGCCCTGGGAAACGGGGGGCAGAGGCCTGCGGAAGAGAGGGTCTTAGAGACAAGAGCTCGCTGAGAGCCCTCAGTCCCAGGCCCTCCAGTGGTGGGAAGGGCAGAACCTGGGCACGGATGCTGGAGGGGTAGGAAAGGGGCAGGATTTGTGGCATTTCCCCTTCAGCTGGAAACAAAGGCAGATTCCTGTGTCCAGCTCCAGCAATCCGGTCCCACCCACCCGAGTGGCGGGAGCTGAAGGAAATCCCGCTGGCCTCTGGCCTCACCCAGCCACTCAGCCCCTCTTTCAAACAATCTCTCTCCCAGCTAGGGCCACTACCTGCTCTCAAATCCTGGGGACCCCTCTCTTTGTCAAAATACTAAGCCCTCTCCATTGCGGGTGGTTCCTTTAACCCCTCAGACTCTCTGTGAGGTAGCATGGGTCTCCTCAGCAAGACCCAAGAGGCTGCCAGGCCCCTATCCCCTTGCCAGGCAACTCTGCCCACCCTCACCCCAGCAAACTCAGGCGCTGCTTGTCTTTAGAGTGAGCAAAAGTCTTGATGTCTCTAGAAGTCCCATGCCATCCAAAATGCTCAGCCAGACCCTCATGGCATCTCCGTGTCCTGAGTTTCAACTGAACATCCCCCCAAACAAGATCATTCACCTCAGCTACTTTGCACACCTTCCTTGATTGCCGCAAGACTGCAACTCCAGGGGAGACTGGGGGTGCCACTCTTCTTAGTGAGGAGTCGAGATACTGTGTGATACTCACAGAACAGGAACTAAAGGCATATTATTTAAATTTACAAAAGAATAATATATGATCATCAATTTAGAAGGGAGAGAATCTTAATGACCTAAATTCTGAAGCTTTTAAATCTAGAGATAGCAGAAAGGCAAATAGCGCATGGGATCACTTACACGTGGCATCCAAAAACAAGAAACTGAGAGTAGAAAAATGGTTGAGGGTGAAGAAATAGGGCGAGGTCGGGAAAGTGTACAAACTTTCAGCTGTAAGGTGAATAAGGTCTGAGGATCGACTGTGTAACGTGGTGACTATGAAACCAAGTCCCCCTAAAGCCGATGCCCTTGCAGAGTTTATACCTAAGCTCTCTATCCAAAATTTTATTCCCTTTCTTGTCCCCTCTGACCTCAATCCTGTACTAACTGAACACTAGTCAACCAGAGTCAGATGACTAAAATTGCTGTTGTTTTTAACATTGTTAATGACAAAATTGCTATTACAAATATCATTAACATACAAACTCAGGTTGTTTGTCCAGGGTGAGATGAGCTAACCAACCCCCAGGCCATGGACCAACGAGCCAGAGAATCATAAACCAGACACATCTTGACTCCCGAACTATGATTAAGAAGTGTCACAACACGATGATTAATCCCAGCCCCTTGATTCTTCCCCTTTAAAAAGCCCCTAAATCAAAGGCCAAGTGAGAGTGGATCTGAGCTTGTCTCTCACTCCCTTGCTTGGCACTTTGCGACAGATTCTTACTCTGCTGCAAACTCCTGCGGGCGGAGTTTGGCTTTCTGCACCGTGAGCACACCAACCCTACGTTCAGTTACTCTAGTTGAGAGCCCTGTATTGTATAAATCAAAGTAGCTAAGAGAGTAGAACTTAAATTTTGCTCACTAAAAAACTCACACACAAAAAAGATAAATATGTGAGGTGATGGATGTGTCAATTAACTAGATGGGAAGAATCCTTTAATGTATATGCATATCAAATCATCACGATGTACACTTTAAATATCTTACCATTGTATTTGTCAGTTATACCTCAAGAAAGCTGAAAAATCTAGAGACAGAACAATAAATGGCTTATTTAGAGTTCTTAAAGTAAATGTCAGAGAAACATATAGCTTCGGGGAGGTTGGCCTCAGCAAGAGGGTCTGGGGGTGGGTATAGTTCCTTCTCGTTATGAACTCTTCTGCAGAATTTCATCTCTTTACTTTACCCTGTGCTTATTTGGGATTTCTTGAGTTGTTTCCTGGATGGCTGCCTCAGACCTCAAAGTCCTCTGCAGTGGCTATACTTTCATCTGTACAACACCCCCTCAGAAAGCTATTTGCAGAAGAGGCGACATTTAGTATTCATCTCTGAACAGGTAAGGAAATTGAGGCCCCTGCCACACAGCCAAGCCTCTGCTCTCCTGACTCCTGGTTCATGCTCTTTCTCCTGCCCCACATCTCGGCCTCCCCCTCTCAAACCCAGACAGCTGTGTGGGTTTTACAGCCGGAAGAGGATGCTCACAGATATTTTTCTTTTATTCGGAGAATGTGGTAGAGACAGAATTCTCAGCCCCTTCTTAAAGGTATGGGAGCAGAGGCTCACACATAGGGGCTCCAACTCTGAGCCTGGGCTCTCCTCCTCTGCTGGGGCCAGTTTGATGGAGAAGGGTCAGAGCCTTGAGGAGGCCTGTGGGGAGGGGCAATTCAGAGGCTGCGGAATTGCTAGGAGGAGATGGTGCTGGGGCAGCTTCTTAACAGAGCCCAGGCCCCCGAGGCACTGTCTACACCCAGACTCCTGCCCTGGCATGCCTTCCCTTTTCTTAAAAGTTTCCCTCCTGAGATGAGTCATCCTCAGGGCCCCTGGTGGGCAAGGAGTGGACAAACCCATCTAGGGGACATCCTGGAGGGGCTGGAGAGGAAGAGGAAGGTGATTCAGTGGCCCAAACTTTGGCTCCTGTCTGCCAGCCTCTTCCTGGGGTGCTGGGCAGAACTCTGGCGGCCCCCACCCTCCCGAAACCTTAGCCCTGGCCATACTGCCTTTTCACTTGAGCTGTGGTGTCAGGGCCTGGGACCAGGTGGTTTCCTGAATCTTAGAGCCAAAGAAGATAATATAACACTGGGAAGAACCTTTGGAAGTAGCTAGTCTAAGCCAGGCCTGGAACTGAGGCCCCAGGCCCCCTTGTTTACAGCTCTTCTCACGACTCCGTGGTGCCCCTGGCCTGAGCAGAGGAGACCAAAGAGGACGCTTCCTCTCCCTGCACCCACAAAGCTAAGACTCTCTCTTCTGAGTTGAATAAATGGATAAATAGAATTCACAAGACTCTGCCCCATTTCTCCCCTAAAGGAGACCCACAGTTCTTCCTCCTCGGATACCCTGTTCTACTATTTTCATGTCTCTCACATTTGAGAAATCCCTAGGTTGTCTGATCAAAATCTCCCGCTCTCCAACATAAGTGGAGCAAAGCCCACCTCACCCTCTGCTAATCCCCCTGCCTTGATTTTTATTCCTACTCATCCTGGTACAGAACTGACAACATAACTTGTGGGTCCAGTGCAAAAATGAAAATGCCAGGCCCTGTATTCGAACATTATTAAGAATTCCAAGATGGTGACAGTAGAACATTAAACCAAGTGTCTGCACAGGTTGGACACCCACAAAGTCAGCCCTGCCCTGCTGTCAAGAGTGATGCTTGAACTGAATACTCATAGCTGGTCCTGAAAAGCCAAGTTGTCCAGTCCCCTGCCTTCATGCCGGACCTGTGTCACCTGCCTTCCATGGGTGAGAATTACCTTGAGGTTTCATCCCACATACCCTGCCTAGGATCTCCAGGCCTCTGCTTCACACACCGCTGGGAAATCCTTCTGAATGTTTAAATCTGTATCTTAGCCCTTTAATAAATTGGGAGATTGAGATTAGCAGATCCTAACTACTATTTATAAAATAGATAAACAACAAGTTCATATTGTATAGCACAGGGAACTATATTCAATATCTTGTAGCAACCTATAATGAGAATGAATATATGTATGTATATGTATGACTGAAATATTATGCTGTACACCAGAAATGGACACAACATTGTAAGCTGGCTACACTTCAATAAAAATAAAATAAAATAAATAAATCTTAGTCCTTTAGGCCTCTTGTTCTGTCCTCACTGAATGTGGGGAACAGCTGGTCCTTTTGAGTAATTAATTCTTGTAGACTTGGACACAGTCTGTAATTCCTTTTCCCTTTCCTCATTGGGCTGAGTCTCCAGTGCTTTCTGCCACTGTGTGTCCCTCCTCTGATGCTTTCCCCAGGTTCTCTGTGCGTTATAGAACGTACAGGGTCCACAAGAAGCCCCAAAGAGCACCAGTCAGGGTTCACAGGGCTCCGTGCACTGGAGAGGTGGGGAAACTCCAGCCCTGAGAAAGAGCCCACCTGCCATTGGGCTCTGCCTTCCTCCTTCAGACCTTGCTCTCCTAGTATCTGCTACATGAATCCTTCCCAGATAAAGTCCCCCATCCTCACTGACTTTCCCCAGCGACTCTCAGCTCTTGTCCATTTCAATGTTTCTGTTCTCAGTGTGCATTTTGCAGTGAATGCTTCCCTTGGGAAAGCCCCCATGTCCATCTTCCAGGACAGAGATCCAAGGACTGGGATTGGGAAGAGTTTATCAGAAGCCATAGCAAGTCAGCGGGGAGAGTGGGTATGAAAGATGGATACACAGCCACACTCCTAGTTCTGCAGCTAATAGAGTGCCGAAGTGGCCACTATCAACTGAAAGAGCAGATACCGTAATCCCA